GGTGGCCCCTCGACTGTGGAATTCCCTCCCTAGAGATATTAAATCTGACCTTTTGTAAGAAAGTAAAAACGTGACTTTTTGATCAAGCTTTTGGAGATCTTGTACAATACATAAATATGGATTTATGTGCAATGACTATTGGAACGGCCCAGCCTATGACTTTGGATAACATGGTTAACAGTGAAGTCATTTTTTAGATGTTGTAAATGTTTTTATGTATTCTATAATTCTATTTAAATGTTTTTAATTGTATATTGTTTTTTGAAAGCATCAAATAGTTGCCAAAGTGTAAGCTGCCTTGAGTCCATCCCCACCACCACCACCCCGGGGTGGAGAAAGCCGGGTAGAAATGTCGCAAATAAATAAATAAATAAAGCGATTTAGTATTGGAGTGATTATGGTGTAAATAGAATACAGTCACACTCTTGCAACTCCAGGAATTCCTGGTGGACACGGAATATCTAGATCCGTCACAGTCTGGCTTTAGGCCGGGACATGGTACTGAGACAGCCTTGGTCGCCTTAGTGGATGATCTTCGCCGGGAATTGGACAGGGGGAGTGTGTCCCTGCTGGTTCTGCTGGACCTCGCTTCGGCCTTCGATACCGTCGACCACGGTATCCTTCTGAGACGCCTCACGGGAATGGGCCTTGGGGGTACTGCATTGCAGTGGCTCCAGTCGTTCCTCGAGGGTCATTCTCAGAAGGTGTCTTTAGGGGGCACCTGCTCGACTCCGCGGCCATTGTACTGTGGAGTCCCACAGGGTTCAGTTTTGTCCCCTATGTTGTTTAACATATACATGAAGCCGTTGGGAGAGATCATCCGGAGTTTTGGGGTGCGATGTCATCTGTACGCAGATGATGTCCAACTCTATCACTCTTTTTCACCTGCCACTAAGGAGGCTGTTCAGGTCATGAACCGGTGCTTGGCCGCTGTCACGGACTGGATGAGGGACAACAGATTGAAACTAAATCCAGACAAGACAGAGGTACTCCTGGTCAGTCATAAGACCGAACAGGGTACGGGGTTACAGCCTGTGCTGGACGGGGTCACACTCCCCCTAAAAGCACAGGTACGCAGTCTGGGAGTTCTCCTGGATTCATCGCTGAGCCTGGAACCCCAGGTCTCAGCGGTGGTCAGGGGAGCATTCGCACAATTAAAACTTGTGCGCCAGCTGCGTCCGTACCTTGGGAGGGCTGACTTGGCCACGGTAGTACACGCTTTGGTTACATCCCGCTTAGATTACTGCAACGCTCTCTACGTGGGGTTGCCTCTGAAGACTGCCCGGAAGCTGCAGCAAGTACAACGCGGCAGCCAGATTACTAACGGGTGCTGGGTACAGGGAGCACACCACTCCGCTGTTACACCAGCTCCACTGGCTGCCAATTAGCTTCCGAGCACAATTCAAAGTGCTGGTGTTAACCTATAAAGCCCTAAACGACTCCGGCCCTGTTTACCTCTCCGAACGTATTCTCCCCTACGAACCATCAAGACCACTAAGATCGTCTGGAGGGGCCCTGCTCTCGGTCCCACCGCCTGCACAAGCATGGCTGGTGGGGACGAGGAACAGGACCTTCTCGATGGTGGCCCCTCGACTTTGGAACTCCCTGCCATTAGAGATCAGAACTGCCCCCTCCCTCATGATGTTCAGGAAACTAACAAAGACCTGGTTGTGGAACGCGGCATTTGACAACTGATTTAATTCTTTGCCCACATGAAAGGAGGATGATGAATGGTATTGTGATGGTGTTGGACGATTTGGCTCTTTTAACTGTGATGATAATGTTTTAATGTGTATGGTGCTGATATTTTAATCGTGTTATGAAGTGGCATTGTGTTGTTATTGTATATTCTTTGTATGTTAACACATGTTGTGAACCGGTCTGAATCCCTCTTTGAAGGTGAGAGGGTCGGTATATAAAACCTCAAAATAAATAAATAAATAATTGTCCTCTGAGAAGTTGGTGGAAGGCCTTGGATGAAAATTCATAGTCCAAAAAAAAATCACTACAGTGATGTGGAAGGCCCAGGTAGAAAAGACTTTGAGTCATCCAGGCCGTAAAACTCACAGCAACCCACTTGGGAGTCATCCTTCAAAAAAACACAGCATAAATAGAATGGCAATGTTTGAACCAGCCAACAAAAAAAAGCTCAAGGGAATCATGTCACTGTTGTCAATAATAAACCCAATAATGTAGGTTTTTGTGCAGATAGGTGAATTTTTGACCTGTTTAGAGGGGGGAAGTATCTAAAACTGTGCTATTGACAATGGTTTATTTGGGGAGGTTTGGGAGGGGGAGATTTGAGAATTTATTTGGTATTCTCAGCTAGCCTAGCAAACCCAGGCAAATTTGGAGCAACATGTGTGGGTGGTGTTTCGGACCTGGTATGACTCATGCACACATGCATCTACACACTTTAAAGACCTTTTAAAGATGGAGTCTCACAAAGCCCATCAAACAATGCAAGAGTACTTCCTATCAGTTGCCCATGAGACTTTGTATCTGAAGTGTGTAGAAATAGAGGTTTTTGGAGTTGGGGAGCTTCCCGTTGCTTAGAAACTGCTACAGGCACTTATTTTAGGTGGGATTGCAACTCTGTCTTAGATCATTTTTGTGATGTGAAAGTGTGAGTGATCTTGTGGACAGTCTGCTGCTGCTGCTGTTGTTGGTTATATCCCAATTTTTCTCTCTAGAAAGGAGACTCATGCCAATGCTCCTTAGGTTTCCATTACTGGTTTAAATATGGTGTGGGTCCCATTGAAATAGTATTTGAAAAATTGTGCTTGTCTCCTCTAGAGTAAGAGACCTGAGGAATAAAGGATCTCATAGAAGTGGTGTCTCAGGAACAGTGCCTTGTATCTCATTTAGAGTAAGGGGCTTGAGGGGCAAAGGATCCCATAGAAGTGGTGTCTCAGGAATGGTGCCTTATCTTTCCTTTAGAATAAGGGGCTTGAGGGGCAAAGGATCCCGTAGAAGCAGTGTCTCTTCTAACTACATAAATAAACATGCTTAAGTATATGGTTGAACTAGAAGTAAGAGGAAGTGATCCCTGTGTGATAGGAGTAAGTTAATTTATTTATTTATTTATTTACAGCTTTTATACTCCGCCCTTCTCACCCCGCAGGGGACTCAGGGCGGATTACAGTGTACACATATATGGCAAACATTCAATGCCAATGTCTTCTTTAAAGACAGAACCCCATGGAAGGCCACGCAAAGAAGACGATTCCCCCGTCCCCTTTCCCCATCGGAAAAAGTCCCATGTCAGAGCCAGCCATGGTGGGCATACATCAACATTATGCATCAGGCTTATGAGGCACTTTACATGAAAACTGTCACGTGGCTGGCATTTTGGTGGGAACTGGTGCATCCCTGGCTTTCGATGCAGCTGATAACACTCGCAGGCCTGTAGCAAGGTGGGGGGGGGGGGGTTAGGGGTTCAAACCCCCCACTTGAAATGTTTCAGATTTTTTTAAAAACCTGGTTTACTCATGAATTTTAACTGGTTAACAAAATCCCCATGCTAGGTCTATGAGATGCAAAAAATCAAGAGTCCCTCCAGAACTGCAAGCACTATCTCAGGCAAATATTGACAATTTATTCACACTGTCATTACTTGCAGCAATAGCCAATGTAGTGAAGCAACCAAGTTTGGGGGGGGGGGGTGTTGAATGCTCTCATTAAGGAGGCCAGACTTGGTGGAGGTGGTTGACAGGGGCGGAGCTGCAGGCTACTGAATGCTGCTCTGCCCCCTGCTGTGCTCTTTGCTTCAGCGTGAGCTAGGAAGCAAGTTTCAACCCCCCCCCCCCCCCCCCCCCCGCACGAAATTTTCAAAAAAAAAACCCTGAAAATTTCAACCCCTCCCGAAAAAAATTTCTGGCTACGGCCCTGGACACTAGAACAGCCTATTCCACATAAAAGGCATGTAATTAAAAAGTCCTCAACAAATATTGCTTCTAAAGGGATAGGCCAAGCCATAGACACTGTGCTGGGAATTCAGCACACAAGGCATATGCTTTTCCTCATCTACATATTTTGAATTAAACATGCTTTGCTTTGTGATTTGTCATTGGTAGATAAACATGAACTTGCTTTCAAAGTCTGACTACTGAGACACTCAACTTTGAAGAAATCCTATTTAAGGATACAAAACCTTGGAATAACAAGAAAGACATGCATTCCCTCTAACCTCAAGTTTGAATCTGAGAAAGTTGGGGATAAGGGGCGTCCCTTGTCTAGATTTGTACCCTAATGACATGCTTATGTTTATTTTGTGTACTGCACCACAGAATCTCCTTACGTAGTGTTTCAATCCATTTCCATGCCTTTTTTTCTACAGGTTCTAGTAATGAATGACCATAGCATTTTTATTGTTGTTACTCTTGCTGTTATTATTATTATCATCTTTAAACCAGATATCTACCTAACCATATCTGGAACTTCGTCCATAAAGCCTGCAATGCCTGCTGTGTTACTATTGCTTGATGCTATGTTTAGGATGTAAACCATTTTTTAAAAAAGTAAACAGTTTTTTTCCCCCTGAAACATAATTTCTGCATCGTGCTTTATTCCTTTGTTTGTTTCTGTTTATTTACTGGCACCACTATTAGCAAGTTTTCAGGGAAGCTTCTTGCAAAATGCTGACGATAAGGAACAAAAATAAAACATAAGATTATATCATAAAACTATAGAAGAGATAAAGACAAACTGAAGCTGAAATGTATTAACAGCTTGGAAAAATAAATGGGTCTTCAGCCGACAGATAGTTATTACTGATATCATCACATTAATATAGAGCTATTAATGCGCACAAAGTAAAACAGAAAATAGGTAGTATTGCTTAAAACTAATCCAGTATAATTGTACAATGAATTATCAAACAGAAAAACACAAGCCAGTGCAAAATAATACAAGGAAATTTGACTGATACATATAATCAGGACACAAGATCACAAAACAATATAGAATAGAACTGTATATTTGAATAATTTTTGCTCCAATTGTGTTCACATTTTTGTCTTCTCACTCGAGGACACTTTCCTGTGCCACAATTTTTTCATGGCATTCTTCATCTCCGCATTTCTTAATGTATAGATCAATGGGTTTAACATGGGAGTGATGACTGTATAAAACAGAGCCACTGACTTGTCTTCTGAGAAGTTGCTGGAAGGACGTATGTAGGTAAAGGTGCATGGACCAAAAAATAAAATGACTACTGTGATGTGGGAGGCACAAGTAGAGAGAGCCTTGCGGCGCCCTTCAGAAGAGCGAGATCTCAAGGAGACCAAAATGACAATGTATGACACAACCAAGATGAGGAAGCAACTCAGAGCAATCATCCCGCTGTTGGCCACCACTATGATGCCAGCAACATATGTATCTGTGCAAGCCAGTTGCAGTAATGGGTGAACATCACAGAAATAATGGTCAATTTCATTGGGTCCACAAAACTGAAGGTGTGTGGTCACAAGTGTCTGCACCAAAGAGTGCATAAGCCCTCCAAACCATGAGCATGCCACCATCTGCCCACATACCTGCTTGGTCATAATGGTGGTATAGTGGAGCGGTTTACAGATTGCAATATACCGGTCATATGCCATCACTGTGAGGATGAAAATCTCTGTGCAGCCAAAGAAATGGACCCCAAAGAGCTGGGCTATGCAACCAATGAATGAAATTGTTTTCTTCTCAGCAAGCAAGTCAGCTATCATTTTGGGGCCTGTTACAGAAGAGTAGCAGATATCTACAAAAGATAAGTAGCTGAGGAAAAAATACATGGGAGAGTTCAAACGGGAACTCAAGATGACAGTGACAATAATCAGGAGGTTTCCCAACACATTGATCAGATAGAAGAACAGAAACACCACAAAATAAATTTTCTGCAGCTCATCGTTTTGGGTGAGGCCAAGAAGAACAAATTCAGTCACATTGTTTATAGTCTGCATCATGACAAAATCACCTGCAAAACATAGAATGAATATGCTAAGAGCATAAATAGAGCATTGGTGACTAAAAATATACCACACGAAGTAGAATAGGCAATTTCATGAAATCTGGCAAGCTTACCGTATATTCCGGCTTATAAGACGACTGGGTGTATAAGACGACCCCCAACTTTTCCAGTTAAAATATAGAATTAAGACGACTCCCATGCATAAGACTACACCCGCGTATAAGACGACCCCTGACTTTTGAGAAGATTTTCTTGGGTTAAAAAGTAGTCTTATACGCCAGAATATACTGTACTTGGGATATTAGCAAAAACTAGTTAACTAACAAAAAAAAATCCCATATAAAATCTGCCCATCTTGCAGATCACCAACAAACACTGAGTGTTGTGGGCTGTATTACAGTGAAAGAAATAGTTTAAAATACATCTAACCATTTCCTGCCTTAAAAACCTCTTGTGAAATTAATGGACTTTTAAATCATAAGGTGACTTGCAGGCACATAGACACATGCATTTTGTAAAGACAAAACAATTCCTCTGTGTGGGGGGAACCCTTCTTTTGAAAGGAGTTGTTTTTCTTATTAAGGAAAGACAATTCCTTCCAGAACAAATAAAGCTGGTTTTAGGATTTTAAAAGATTTCCCAGCTGCATTTATGGATAGGCAGAGAATGGCTGATTAAAATAAAAAGAAATATCTGCAAAACAAAATGTTTGCCATTTGTTACTGGGCAGAATTTATTTTTGATAAATAGCTTGAGAGAAGGCACAAAATCTTGCAATGTGATGAATTAATGTGCCAAACTCACAGAAGGGGAATAAATTCCCAAACTACAAATATGGAAGGAAATACTACACACAAAACCAACGCAAATGAATAAATTATTAAAGTTTTTTGAAAGCATAAAAACCAAAGGAAAAAAATGACAAAATTCTTACTATGTTCTTCTTTAGATTGCAGATGATCCAATTTACTTTTTGAGATAGAAAGAAAATCCTGTGCCATTTTATCAACTAATACAATTTCCTGATATTTAGAATCATGCCTCATGAAAGTTAATGCTATAATACATGAGTTAAAATAATTTATTCTTCTTTTTGATGAGACCTTCCCCATTACAATTTAAATAGATAGTATATCTGAAAAGTTGAGACCATTATACCTTATTTTATAAACTGTATACATACATATAACGATCGTAATTAAAGATAAAAGTGCTGCTATGACATTTGTACACTATTTCAAAAAAAAACCTAGTATATGGAAGAAAAATTCTGGGTCATAACATGAGATAAATCAAACTTGGGTTTTTTAAAAAACACAATTGTGCAGAAATTGCTGAGTTATGCAAAGACCGCTCAGGCTTCTGCCCTCCTTTTCCCTGCTTTATGATTGGATGGCCCAAATAACGGCCAGTGCATGATTGATAGCTGAAATGCCCACATTTAGAGAACAGGAATTGGCTTGATTAACCAAAAGCCATGCCATCCTGACCATCATTGGCTACGAGGTTCATGTAATGATGGTGTAAGCTGGTAGAGATAAGGTGAACTATCAAACATTGTTCTAAGGGATGCCATGGGTCCCTCTCTGTATAAGAGAGACTGGTACCCACATGCATGTGCTTTGTTATTTATTATTGCTATTATTGCTATTATTATTATTTTTATTATTATTATTATTTATATTATTGCTTTTCTGTAAGACTAAAATAAATCTTGATCCAAGAAATATTTGGTTATTTTTGCCTATTCTTGAAGCTTCTGAAGCTGTTCATCCTGGTCTGCTAACAATGAATAACTTTTATTGAATACGGTGATTTTCATCTTTTTAAAAATGTATTTTAAAGCCCAGAGAAAAAGCCTACTGTTTTGGACTTTGCTAAATATATAGGTATAGTTATATAATAAATTTGCTATTCAAATCCTAATTTAACAGGCAGAAAGAGAAACCAGCATGAAGAACCAAGCTACCTAATAAACGAGTCCCCCAAACACACCTTTAAAAAAAATAACAGTCCAATATTATACTATTTCATATGCCAATTATACTAATTACATTAGTTTGTTTAGGAACATGACAATGTTTGTTTGTTTTTTTAAAAAAGGTAACAGACAGATAGATAGGTAGATAAATAGATGAATCGATATGCTTCAATCTACCCCAACATACCTTGATCATATTTGCAATGAAGTTTTGCAGTGACCCTAATACAATGTCTTGAAAGCCAGATGCATCTTAAAAATAATGGATTCTTACTTAGAGCTGTTTGTTTTCATTGGCAGTGGGAGATTAAACGGTGAAAAATTACCCTGATCTGTTTTTACAACGGTTTTCTGCCTAGACTCAAAAGAGTAGTTCACAAACTCCAAATAAAAGGCCTTGCATATTAAAAGAGTAGTTCAATATTCTGCAATAGAGGAAAGGAGATCATTACCTTTTTATAGGCCTTGAAAGCACAATTGTTTTTACAACTTCCCTTTCCAGAAGGTGTTTGTTATCCTTCATGAGCCTCATGTATAAAACCTACCCACTGACAGAATCTTTGGAGAGAGAAGTAAGTGGAGGAGAAGGAGATTTAACTATCCTGTTTGCAAAAAAATGAACAAGTCTACTGTGTCTGGTGCCTTGAGAAGATCATAAACTTAGTTAATAAGATCCCAGGGGGGCAAACGAAAGGCAAATGGGATACAGACTAAAGGAGTTAAACTTTTCTTTATTTCAGAAAATAGCGGCAGACTTTGATGCTCCCTCTAATTCAGTCATAAGGAAAGTGCAACCTGTGAGCTGCCTGTGACCCCAAGTCTTACATTTTTTCAGGACCCTAAAGGCCCCTAGAAGCCTCCATCAGTTTTTTTAAAGCTTGTTTCTTAAGTTCAAGGCAATCCTCAAGTTACAAACAAGACAGATTCTGTGGGTTTGTTCTTAAGGTGAATGTGTATATAAGTCAGAACAGGAGCATTTTAAAGTGTACCTTCAGCCATAGATAGAGAGATGAAAGAGTGATCCTACTTGGACCCCAGTTGATTAAATCTGATTTGGAAGAGTCAGTGTTATCCTTGAATCACTCTGACCATTTCTCTCTGTACATATCTCCATCCATCCATCCATCTCTATTGCTATCTCTGTCATTCTCAAATGCTCTGAGTCCTGAGTTACAATGGGTTATATATCGACGTGTCCACAAACATTTGATTGTTATTTGGTAAGAGATTGTATATTGGGCACCTCCACGTCTTCTGATGGAAGCCCCACACATATTCCTTAAGCATTCTCTGGTCATGCTTGCTTATGTAACTAAGGCACTTTTGCTAACCTTTCACTTTTACTGATCCTGCTCAACTTACAGGCTTACAGAAATGCTAGGCAGAAATGTACCCTTTCCATATGAGCTAACGAAGGATTAACACCCCTATGGTGTTGTCTCACCCCCGCTCTTAGCTATGAGTTGTTTGTAAGTCAGATGTTTATAATTTAGGAACTGCCTATACATACATTTCCCCCCTGGGTAACCAAGAACAACTCCAAGTTCCCTGCAAATGTAGTGGTATAACACCATCTACCTCCCAGAGACACATAACACCCCAGAAAGTCTTCAAAAATCATCCAAATTATTGTATTTCTGTGGTATCAGTTAGATTATTGTTAATAAAGGTAAATGAGAGATTACTGGTACTTGTAAAATGATCACACACATATGATCACACACTCAAACAGGATGGAAACATGTCTGAGTGTATACGTTTTGAAAATGGAGGCTCAAAGCAGTTCCCAGTGGGCCTAAAGCAATGATTCTCAACTTGTGGGTCCCCAGATGTTTTGACCTTCAACTCTCAGAAATCCTAACAGTTAGTAAACTGGCTGGGATTTCTGGGAGTTGTAGGCTGGGGACACACAGGCTGAGAACCACTGACCTAAAGGCTTTCTTGTTGTTGCACGCCTTCACGTTCTTTCTAACTTATGGCAACCCTGGCAATATTTCTTTAGTGCAAGTTTGTCCTTTTTTTCCTCTGTAGCCAAGAGAGTGTGACTTGCCCAAGGTCATCCAGTGGGCTTCCATGACTGAGGTCTGGTATCCAGGCTTATAATCCAATGCTCAAACCGTAGTTGTTGTTGTTGTTAATAGATATTTTTATTTTTATTATCCAACTACTCTCTGTTAAACAAGACTCAAAACAGCTCTATGCCATACTGGCTCTTTCAAATCTATTGTGCATGAAATCTAAAAGCACCATATTACCTGCCAGAAAGCCATTTGAATGTTGGAGTACCCTTACAACTTCCATGCCATACAAAACTACCATGCCGAAAATAGGACTACCTATGTTGTACATGAGGAGACGGAGCTAGACCCAGGTCACATGTTACAAAGATGAAACAGGAAGAGTAACCTTTGTGCCATGTTGTCTCTCTTCGTTTTTGGTATCCCTTGCCCTATGAAGCAAAAAAGGAGTAGCATGTTTCTTACTTTACATCCTCTTGCCTTATTTTTTTTTTAAACATTTATTTCGGTCATTGACCAGCACAGGAAATAGTGTCACATTTCCATACACACCTGGCATGTTTGGTACATTAAAAATATAAATATAACTACTAAAAACAATATGGGTGAGGGAGCAGAAGGGGAAACAGGGTAAAAACATACAATGCCCAGATCCATCACCAAATTGTAGATTCAGGGAAGAAGATTACTGGACACACAGTTGACTTTTGGAACTAGTCATTCCCTGGCGGATTTTGTATGCTGCTGCACAGAACTTTGCGACATTGTAGGTTGTAGCTGAATTAGTATCCGCAAGTAGCAGGGAGGTATAAAATTGTCCTGAATGGCCTGGGTGCTTGTCTATCAGAGGTAAGATAAGCCTGGCACGGGTATCCCTGTAGAACGGACACTGAAGGAGCACATGTTCTATTGTTTCCACATGACCCGAGTCACAGGGGCAGAGTCTCTCTGGGAAAGGGATCTTCCGGTAGCGGCCCTCGAGTACAGCTGATGGGA